GAAGATACTCCGGTGAGCGCGTACTAGGGGAAGTCGAAGACCGGGAAAGAGTGGACGAGACGCAAGGAGCTGCTGGATCTGGAGGGACGGGGGCAGTCAGGTGCTCGGGGGTGGCGGCGAAGAGCATGAGGGGGAGGGGGGAGGGAAGAAGAGGGGATGAGGTAATCCGGGCCCGTGGGCACCAAGGATGCTGGGGGACATTTTTTATTCCTGCTCCGCCCTCCCGGTGCACACGGCGTGGGCGTAACACCGCGGTGTTACGCCCGGGCCCGGCTGGACCGGCCACGGCCAGGCGGAGCCCCCCCCCCCCCCCCCACGCACACATACGCACACGCACACACGCACACACACACACACACAGGGCACCAGGGCATTCCTTGCTATTAATAGGCCAACGAATAGACCAAGGCAGGTGGGAGGGGGGGGGACGGAGTGGGTACCGGGACCTGATTACCCTACCCATTTGAAGGACACATCCTCGAGCCCACACTCCGGGCGGGCCGGGGGGGGGGGGGGGGGGCCGGCCACGGCGGCCCACCACTCCGCCGGCACGTACTGACAGGCGTCCGAATTCGGCCCGGTCCCGGGGGGCGTGGGGGGACCGGGGGGGGGGGGGCCCGCTCCTTGGTACGAAGGCCAGGGCCTCCTACCGCCCCTTCAACCAGGCCCCAACTCCGGGGGGGGTCCGGTGGGGGGGGGGGATCCGATCACGGCGGCCCACGCAAACGGGTTGTCGGCGTCTATTGTCCCCGTCGCGGGCCCGGGGGCCTGGCCAGACGAGCCACCCCGGGGAAGAATGGCCCTCGGAGACCTCAAGAATCGATAGTAGTTCCATGCCCCCCCCCCCCCCCGTCCCCCGCGTCTTCATAAGCAACCGGCCCTACCCCTTTGTGGGCCAGGATCGACGGCGGCGGCGGCGGCGGGGGAGCCCCCTTTGGGAAAGTAGGGAGACGCGCCCGGGCACCCGGGGCATGTGCGCCACTTGCACAGACCTCTCTGCCTTGAAGGGGAGTGGGGGGGGGGGGGGACGGACGGAGGGACGCCACCGAAGTCACCGAGGCCTGACGTAACACGGACACCCCCCATACCCGTGCGAGTTTCCCCATACCACTGCCCCCCCCCCCCGCCCCGCGCCCCGCGCCCCCATACACCCAGCTGAGCAACGAAGCAGTCCCGGGCGCCGAGTGCAGAAGAGCAGGAGCCTGGAGAAATAGACGATTCTCGAAAGCGCCATCCACCGCAACGCCGGCGGGATCTGGCCGGGCGATCGGCGCGCCCCCCTCCCCCCGGGTCGGCAGATGACATATCAGCCGGTGGAGAGGAGGATGTGACCCGCGGACTGCCCCGCCTCCGCCCCTCCGCCCTCCCCCTGGGCGGTACTTGATTCTGGGTGACTGCTCTCCTCTGTTGGGCCGCCCCCGCAAGGGTGTTGACCCGTCTCCCCGGGGGGGG